TAAAGAGTCCCCAAATACTTGATGTGTACCTCAGCACCTATCTCTACAACTAAGAGGCATATTTTGTTCAAAGAGTGACTCTCAACACTGTGAACTACCCCTTGTAACTCAAGGAACACTAGGATTCTCAGAGTAGGACAAAGATGCTTGACAGGAGGGACCTCAGGCTCTGTGTGAGGCAGATAATAGCAGAGGATGAGTAAGAGGGAGCTTCAACACCATTGGATGTCCCCCAAATAATCCATCTGCATCATGGTCTCAGACCTGCACTAAGAAAATCATGGCATTGAGAACATTGTCCCGACATCTGTAGGTTTGAGATTTGGAGAGGTACAAACTCTAGAATTTTTCACCCTTTGGACGCTTCTAAAGGTAGGTATAAAAAGTCTTCTCCCTGACAGGCACCAGTTGTTCATGCTTCCAATCATAGCTAGTCAGGAGGCTGAGTTCCGAGGATTGTGGTTCGAAGCTAGCCCAGGCAGGAATGTCTGGGAGATCCTTAACTCCAGTAAATAACAAAGCAATATTATAAAATAAATAAGTACAGCAGCAAGTTGTGACTTAAGTGGTAGAGAGCTAGCCTTGAGCACTAAAGCTAAAGGACAATGCCTAGGCACAGAGTTCAAGCCACACGACAAGAAAAAATAAAGCATTCTCCCTAGATGTTGCTCCAGATTAAATCTGGTTGCATCCAAGCTGTTATCCCCAAGCCATGGTCTTTGAGACACTAATCAACTGCGTTACCTCCTCCACTAACCTCTTCTACTTTATTTTTAGTGCTTTGTGGGTTTGGGGCTCAAGCCCTTGTTGTTGCCAGGCAGGCACTCTCTCAGTTTAGGTACTCCATCCTTTAGTTAACTTTCAAACAGGATCGATTTGTTTTTCCTTGAGTACACCTGGGGCTTGAGGTTCTTCATTATACTTCCCACATATTCTTGGTGATGAGACACACTGTCACAGTCAACAGTTCATTGTTTGCCAAAAAGGTCTCCCACAATTTTAGCCCAGGCCTGCCTCATATCTGATCTTCACAATCTCAGGTTTCTGAGGAGGTAGGATTTTAGACATGAGCCACAGACTCCAGCTCCTCAAACAAACCTTCTATATGAGGGGAACTTGCTTGTTATAGGTTTAGTGTGAAATTCTTTTTTCTTTCTTTGTCAGATGTGGGATTTGAACTCAGGGCTTGAGTGCTGCCCCTGAGCCCTTTTGCTGAAGGCTAGCACTCTGCCACTTTGTGCCACAGCACCATTTCTAGCTTCTTCTATGTTTAATTGGAGATGAGAGCCTCACAGACTTTCCTGCCTGGGCTGGCTTTGAACAGCAATCCTTAGATATCAACTTCCTAAGTAGATAGCGTTATAAGCCTGAGCCACTGGCTGGCTTAGGGTGAAATTCTTAGGAGGGATTCAAACTCTGAGAGGTTCAGGTAGGAGAGGTGTCTAGAAGGTGAACAGAGGAAATCCTACTATCAAGTACATAGGTGTCACCAAAATGTCGGCTGTTAATAACTAGTAAAAGCCTAAGACAAGCAGAAAAGTTCAAAAGCTATGTATGTATGAACATATAAGATGATGTTAAGTGAAATGAACCTCAAGATAAGAACACAATTCGTTTTTTTTTCTTGCTATTGTTTTTAACGTATTTAAAATGTACTATGTGATTTTTTTTGTTTCTTTTGTATGTTCTTCCCCCATGGTATAACCCCTATTTTCACTGTATTTGATGTTGGTGCCCTGTATCTTTCTTTATTATTGTGAAAATACTGTACAGAGGGGTTACAATTACATGGGCAAGATAATGAGTACATTTCTTATCAAGCATTGTAGCTTCCTCCTTTGTTCTCCCTTCCCATCCTCCTTCCGCCTCCCCCCAATCCTCCCTTCCCCCCCAGTGAAAGCAGGGGTTATACTGTCGGGGAGGGACATACAAAGCAACAAAGAAATAATCTTATAAATGTGTTAGAAACAATCGCATGAAAGAAAAAAACATTTGAATACATATCTTAGGGTTCATTTCCCTAACATCACCTTATCTGACCTTTACTGCTTGACTCAGATATACACTAGATATTGCAAATAAGGGAAACCATGGGACCTATGTTTCTTTGGGCCTGGCTTACTTCACTTAATATAATTTTTTCCAAGCCTTTCTATTTCCTCACAAATGGGGCAATGTCATTCTTTCTGATGGAGGCATAGAATTCCATTGTGTATATATACCACATTTTCTTGATTCATTCATCTACTGAGGGGCATCTGGGTTGGTTCCATAACCTGACCTGCCAGACTCAGCTCCACCCAGGTGCCCTGTATCTTGTATATACGTTTTTCTAATTTGGGGAGGGGAAGGGAAATGACAAAACGTTGAAATAAGGATACAGGTTGACCCATTGTAACAATGAGATGTACAAGACACTATGTTGAAAACAACTTTACAACTTGGGGGTGGAGGGAGATGTTGGGGAGGGGGTGGAAGAAGGGATGGTAGGGGAAAACAAAGGAGGGGGTAACAATACTCCATAGGAAATGGACTTATTACCTTACTCATGTAACTGTAACCCCTCTTTAAAGTATTTTTTACAGTAAAAAGTATAAAAATGTCAGCTGTTGCCTCAACATTCCACCCCTGGGCTAGCTTCAACTTCAGAATCTGGTCATCACAGAGACGGATTTGAACAATAAACTTGGAGAGAAGAGGTAATGTGTCTAAGCCCAATCCAGGCAAGAGGAGAAGTTGATTGGCAAAAGCTCAGCTTCAGGAGGGAAATCATAAAATAACTGTGTCACTGTTTTGACACTCTCAGTCCTTGGATGTTGGGGGTAGTGTAAAGACAGTACAGGACTCCTCCTCCATTTATGCACTTTAATTTAACCCTAACCAGCCCACCTAGCCTGAAGCTTTCCCTTGAGGTACTGTGAAAATAACAGCCTTAATCTAGGGTCCTTGGATATAAGAGGCTTTTGGATATCTGAGGGGAAGCAGAGAAAACTTTAAACTACTTGGCAGATCCCCTAAAAATCTATACTCACCCTTGTTCTCACCCATGCAACTGAGGTTCTCTGGTACGGAGAGGAGTCTACCTTTTCTTCACTCCCTCCTTCCCCAGGGGACACTGAGAATCTTTGAAGACATTGGTGTGGAGAGGGCAGGACTCTGTAAGGCCTATGTGAGTGAACACTATTGGTAGACTTGGGCCTAGGAAATTAACTTCCACCATGGAATGATAAAGAAAATGAAGGCTTTGATTAGTCAGGGCCAAGACTATTAAGGAAAAGACCTTAAACTCCAGATTAAGGGAGACACAAAGGAAGTCTGCCCCTGCTGTCAGTCCAGGGAGGCCCTGTGCTGTCTCACCAGTAATGACATCATACTTACCTTTCTAAGTCATAGAGAGGGATACCTCACTTTAACCTCTTAGGCTTGTTTCCAGAGAAGCGGAACTTGGTCTGCAGAGTATGTCCTCTGCCCAGCAGAGCCCTTAGAGAAGATAAACAGATCCTTTTCAAGATGTAGGGAAACAACTTACATTTTAAACCCAGGGTGGCTCAAGGCAGCATTGTAGTAAAGAAATGGCACCAGTGCTTTCTCAGTATGCTCAGGGAAATAAGGAAAATGGCAGCCTTGGCCTGCAAGATGGATCTGGAGATTAATAGAGGGAAAAGGCCCAGACCTTGTCAAGAGTGATTATGAATACTTTTAGAGACCCCACACAAAAGAAAAGCCCTGGATACCACTCTCTCTGTCAGCCTAGGGAATCTCTACTTGGGTGTTCACATGAACTGTTTATATACTTCTGTCTCTCAGAAACCAAGAAGCTGAGGCCTCAGACTGATTAATCAGCAGGAGGAAGTGTCCAGAATAAACTGAAGTTAAGGTGAGGACAGGTATAACACCCCCCACTCATACATAATGGGACCCTACTAGAATCTTTCCTTCCTTTACCTATGGGAAAACCCAGACATCATAGGTACATTCATCTCCCTTTCAGTCCTCACAGTTTCTCACAGAAATAAGTTTTTGGTTTTGTGATTGTGTCCTGTGATGCTCAGAGGGAAAGTTCTCAACCTGGCATTTAACAAGGAAAAGACTGAGCCAGTCCTCCACCCAAATGGCCCATACTGCATGTGGTCACCTTTATTGTTGCCCCTGGTCATTGTGATATCCACTCATTGCCTTTGTTCCATTATTAAGAACTGGATATCAGTTGGCGAATGTGCTCCAAGGTTAGCATAGAGTAGTCCAGACTTCTCCAGGGCAACTTTGGGCGCTTACAATGAGTTCAGTAGAAGCTATCTATTGCAGAATATTGAGGAACTTGCAGTCTACCTCACTCTTATAGTCAAGCCTGGAGGCTCCTTGTTGTCTTTGCATGCTGGGGCCCAAGGAAGAGAGAGGTCTGACTCAGTGCTTGCTATACATACTCCAGGGACCAGGAGGTAAAAGTCTTGGCCTAAAGTAGTGACCTCATGTAATCAAGTAGACAATTCTCTGCTAAGGTCAGAATTTCAGACTGAAGTGCATATACTGAAATGATACCAGTATTCACCACCCCACAACACAGAATTCCGCATCACTCAGCACTGCACACCCCACCAAGACCCCAGAAACTAAGACTCATTCAGCACCTTGTACCTTATTGAGTTGTTCCCTGACTCTTAGGCTTTAGGCAACAGACACAAGAGGGAGACAGGAATCTATGTGTCCCTAAAGCACCAAAGGGAAGGCCAGTAGTAAGTCTTAAGGAAGCTGCCAGTAGGAATATTTTCAGCTGAAACTACTTCCCTGCTTTCTCTTTCATAGGCTTAGGAGCATTCATTGAGGTGTACTCCACCTTCTTACTACTTATCCTGGAGAACAGTCATCATACTCAAAGGACCCATCTCTCTGAGCTTGAGAGAGGCCCTCGGGCCCAAAGAGAGGCCAAAGGCCTGGTGGGTGAGCAGGTCCCCTAGTCTAAGGAGACTTCTACTCCTCTGTTCCTCCCTACTACAACAGACATGTCAGAAGGTCTCCTGGGTGAGGTAGTTAGGGAGATACATGAGGAACATCAGGGATGCAGCGATCAGGCAAGGGAAGATCTGTGCCTCCATGATAATGAGATCCTTTATATGGCCCTGCAGAATGAAGCAATAGCATTGGTACCATACCTGCTACATAAGTATTGGTTAAAGGCATCAGATTCTGATAGGGATATACTGAAGCATATCACAGTAGGTCACCAGCATTACTTCACTTTGATCTTAGACAAACCTTCTCTATTTATGGAGCTCGTGTTTGGTATTGATATAAAGGAGGTAGTCCCCATTTTGCACACACATGTGCTGGCCATAACAGCAGGAATCACTTACGATGGTATTCTGAGCAATATGCCTGGCATGCCCAAGTCAGGCATGCTGATACTTGTGCTATGCATCATCTTTATAGAAGGTGACTATGCCACAGAGAAGACCATCTGGAAAGTGCTTAGTAAAATGGAAGTGTACCCTGACAGGAAATATTTCATTTATGGAAAACCTAGGAAGCTGCTTATGGAAGATTTTGTATGGGAGCAATATGTGGCATATAAACAGGTGCCTTGTAGTGATCCCATTGTCTATAAGTTCATGTGGGGCCCAAGGGCCTATGAAGAAACCACAAAAAGGAAAGTCCTCAAACACTGGGCCAAGTTCAGAGAAGTTGACCCAAGGTGTTTTGCATCACTCTATAAAGAAGCTTTATGAGAAGAACAGTAAGCAAATGCCCATGATATCTCTTCTTTAATAGAAGACTGACCCTAATTTTAAATGCAGTTGGAAATCTGTTTCATATTAACATCCCAGTGGAATAGTGATTTCCTTGAAAATGGTCAAAATCTCTAGCAGTGAAATAAAGTACCATACATACAAGCTGACTGTTAATTTTTATCTTACCCATTTTCTATATAACATCAAAAATGTAAATACATTGTCTTGATTTTGGTTGGTTATGAGTGTTGTACTGGAAATTATATCTTAAAGAGAAGTTCTACCACTCAATGACCAGTTTCCTCTTCAAATATTTATTTTAGCATCTGTTCTTGGTAATAATATTTGTAACTAACACATAATTGGGAAAAGTCTTAGTCAATAGCCTTTCCAAGAAGATATAGATGGAAATTAATTGCAGGGAATGGAAACAAGAGGTTTCTTTTTCTTTGCTGCTGCTTTTGTTTTCTTTTCCTTTTATGAACTTATTTTGGGAGGGCAAGATGTGGGCACAGAAAGGCTGGGACAAACTCACTAGACACTATGTTGAATAAATTTAAAACATATGCATGTGGACCAGAGGGAAAAACTGGGAGAGAGTGAGGGAAGGGGGGACATTTTCCAAAAAAATATTTATTCTTTATCAGACTTATATAACAACCAGCCTTCAATACATCACCTTCAAAATAACAATAAAAATGGATAAATAGAAAGAAGTTATGCTGGGTGCCAGTGGCTCATACTTGTTATCCTACACAGGAGACTGAGAACTGAGGATGGAGGTTTGAAGCTAGACCCAACAGGAAAGTCTGTGAGATTCATGTCTCCAATTCACCACCAAAGCTCCAAAGTAGAACTGCAAGTATAAAAAAAAACAGGGACAATGCCCATGTCCTAAGTTCAAGCCCAGGACTTGAAGACACAAAAAGTATGACGTTTTATAATTTGCAGAAAAGTAGATGGAACTTATGTGAGAGAAACTAAATTGAGAATGACCAATACTACTTTTGTTCTCCTACTTACAGGAGCTTTACCACCAGAAGTAAAACTAAAAAGGACCAAAGCTAAATATAAAATGGGGACTCTCCTAGGTGAGGGCATCCAGTGGCAAGTGATAGCTAAATGACAGGGTGATATTTGAGTATTATAGGACAATGCATGAAGATATGAAAATAAAATAATTAAATCAAGTTTAAAAACTAAGAGCAGTGATAAGAATGGGGAAGCAGCTGGCAGACAAAAACAGAGTTGGTCTTTGATTCAAATCCTAGGACCTATCATTCATGGACATTTTCCAAACAAGAATTTGAGAAATGACTTCCGATGGAATCTTTTTCTAAATTTTATGACAGTTCATTTCAGTTTCATGTCTTCCTCAGCTGAATATATTCTGATACATCCTACAGAAGAGTGACATGAACAGCATCCACATATGGAAAGGGCTGGGACGAAATGCCATTAGAAATGACTGTCTCTGCCATTCACTACAGCTCCAGAACTCACAAGCATAACTCACTTCTTGAAGTTAGCAGATGAAGGCAGCAGACACACACTGCTGCTACTCAATTTGAGGGTATAAGAAGGGACTGAGATGACCTGTATAGAGCTAGGCCCTCCCTTGCTGTGAGCTTTGAGAGGCACTGAGAAAGAAGAGAAGAAATCTGCTCTGTTATTTCTAGAGAGACTAGTAGCCTGGGCTCTGTCTCAGGTGAACAGAGAGCTGCCTATCATATAGGAAGTAAAGGGGCAGTAAGCCAAACTGAGTGTTCCAAGACCCAGTACTGATGGGGTTCAAACTTGTTCCTACTTTCAGAGTCATGGTTAAATATCCAGTAACTGGTCCTTGCCTATCCAAGGACCTCAAGCAAATATGAATTCTAACATCACCTTCACCAGAAGCAGTGGATGAGGGAATTATGGAGGTGCTTTCTTGATAACATACCCAGGTGAAAACAGAGGTTCAGATAGATTGCATGAATTCTGTCCATAGGAGACAATGTGTGTCTTCTTATTGTCTGTTTACTCATGGATCACTACAATGAATTTGGCTTTCCCTATTCAAGGACCTTAGACCAAGACAATTGTTCTCAGGGTCTCTTGAAGTTGAAGGAAGTCATGGTGAGTGCTTGAGGGTGTTCCATTCACTAGATGATCCCTGGTGCATTACTCAATACTGGATTGCAGCTGAAATAATTGAGAATCATCTACCTATATTCCAGGTCCTCTACTCACACTCTGAAATCGTGTCTTAACTATACTCCACAGAGAGACCAATTGTTCCCCTTAAAGGACTTCAGACCAAGACTGTGACTCCCAAAATCTGGGTCATTCCAGCTCCATTCTTGTTGCAAGCCTTGAAAGTATCAATGTAGGGTGACCAAGCAGCTGATTCCTGACTTCTGCATGTGGGTTTGGTAGAAAGAGCCCTATCTCAAGACAAGATCAGAGCAAAATACTCTAAGGAATCCAGATGTGATATCAGGTGTGACTGAACCTCCCAGAACAGAGTATAGATGAGGCCCAACCTTGTTCTTATTTTCAGGATGTCTTGTTCTTCACCTTACTTTACAAACTGCGATTTACAAAAGTCATGAGAGGTATAATCATGCCTAGAATTAAGCGAAAGACTCAGGGAGGACTAAAGGGACAGGGATATTATACTTTCAGATTTTTAGAGGGACATTTCCATACTCCCATCAGCTATGGAAACTAAAGGACAGAGTAAGTAAGAGACTTACTTTGAGGAGAAAAGACTGATGATTCTTGCAGAAAAAGACACTTTATTTGGAATCAGTGACAGGTTCCTTAAAGAGGATTTTTCTTTTGATGTTACCTTAGTTAGTGCCATCTGAGTGGCCTGGTGTACATTCTCTTAGTTTTGGCCTTGGATCAAAAAGACGACAATTTTCATTGGATGGGATATGGCCAGGATCTTTAGGGAAAGAGACCAAAGACTCCAAAATAAAGAATATTCTGGTCACCGGTGGCTCATGACTGTAATCCTAGCTACTCAGGAGGCTGAGATATGAGGATGGAGGTTTGAAGCCAACCTGTGCAAAAAAGTCTGTATCTCCAGTTAACAACAATAAAAAATCCTGGAAATTGAGGTATAGGCCAAAGTGGTAGAGCTCTAGCCTTGAGTAATAAAGCTCAAGGACAGTTCCTAGTCCTTGAGTTAAAACCCACAACTGATTAAAAAATGGACCACCTACAACAGAATTCTGTACTTGGTATATTTCTGGGGAGGCCCCATGCCATGTTATCAGAGGTATGATGCATGACAGCTAGTGAGACATGTGTCTCTGTCTGCATTAGATTATGCTAAAAGTTCTGAGCTCTACAGGACACTGAGCAGTGAGGCCTCAGCTCTGTAAGTTGTGGTGGTGACATTCTGACCAGAGGATGCTTTCCTTAGATAGAAAGCCCTGAAATAATCCAACAGAAACCCTGCTATAGTTGATTGGCTCTGTTATTTACCTCCGTCCTTCTGTGTTTTGAATTGTTGTATTCATTCCTGCCTCAGGGAATAGGGAATTAACAACATTGGGGTAAAGTTATTGGCAAAATAGTACCAGTCTCTGAGACAGGTCCTGGTGGGAGGAGGGGCTGGACAGCAAAAGCTGTATGAGCGGCTCCACAAATAATCTAACTGAAGCTCTATTGTCAGCCCTGTCCACAGAGGCATCTAGTCAGGTGACCACTGTCTGCAGTCCTTCCTGCAGCCTCAGTGGATGATGAGAGTAAAGGCTTGGTGTGAGGAGAACAGAATGAGGAGGTCTGGGGGATGGGGTGGAGGCACTATTGAAATCAATGATAGTACCCGAAGTGAGGATGGAGGGTCTCTTAGAATCCTCATGCTGAGCCAGACCTGGGGGCCTCCTGCATGGTCTCTTAAAGTTTTTTTTAATTGTAAAGTGATATACAGAAGGGTTACAGTTAAATAAGTAAATTATTGAATGGTCTCTCAATTTTTACCTTGAGGTTAGAAAAGAAGCCACACTCTTGAGGGATATGGCAAGGACCTATGCTGTTAGGGAGAAGACCTTTGACTTAAGTTACATGTGTCTCACAGAAGCCTGTCTCTGATATATTTTGAGGGAGTCCCCATGTGTCGTCACTGTGAGGTGATGGCTGAGGAAATCTTCTGGATCTAAGAGTTTGGCAGGTGGAACTGGTCCTTCATTTAGTAGTGTGAGGAGCCACACACTGCAGAAAGCAAAGGTGAGGGTTTAGAAAGGATTGGGATTTTCCTGCATATGTCCAGCTCCACAACTGCTGTGAGGCTGCTGAGACCCACATCCAGAGGGACAAGGCTGCTGCTTTATGCCTGTGGCATCTGGATGTGAAAGAGGTTATGAGGGAAGGGGTAACAAGTTTAATAAGAAGTATACTCACTTCCTTATGAATGTAATGGTATCCTCTTGACAATAAAATTAAATTTAAAAAAGAAGACAGCTTCATCACATGACCAATTTAGCTCCTATACAAAGCCATGGTGAGACACGAAAAAGGATGAAGGGCCCAAGACCCAGTAGACACAAAGAGACACTGATCTGGAACAGAGAGCAACCTCCATTCTTCCATATTCATGAGAGGCCCTGAGCTGTGGCTAGATTCAGGGCTTCTTCACTTCTGTCTTTGGCCTGGGTTCAGGGAGGAGTGGTTTGGTTTGATGAGTGTGGTATTTGCTCAGTGGAGCCCTGAGCCAGCAGGGGGAGGGGGAGAGATGTCATGACTGGCTGTCCACTCAGGGTTTGGTTGGTGTTTATGGCATGGTGTGGCAGTGGCCTTGGCGTGCAAGTTGGATCTGGAGGTCAGCAGATGAAAAGAGTCAAGGACTCATGATGAGGAAATCAAAACATCTTGAGTGCACTGCACACAAAAGATAATCCATGAGCCTCTAATTTGTCTGTCATCTGAGAAATCACGTGATTGGAGTCCCCATGTCCTGCATCCTCATTTATGTATCTCAGGTATTAGGAGGGTGAGGCTGTGGG